TCTAGAAAAAGGTGGGTGGGGCAGGAAAACTGCTCAGAGGTAGAAGAATTAGCTCAAGTGATGGAGGGCTTGTTTAGCCTGCAGAAGGCAGGGGATTGATACCCATGTTCTCCAGTGATGGAGATTCCCCATTTTTCTTTCCCCAGGGGACTAAGAGCTTCCAGTGGCCCCTCCCTTGGTGTACTTGCTGTTCCCAAAAGCCAGCCACGCTGGGGCAGAAAGCTACTGGGTCCCAGCTCTCCTTTCCCTTCAAGATTTGTATTTAAAAAACAAGGTGAATCTGAGTAACTTTCTCCTAGATTGCCCACCTTCGGCTGGACCAAGATTCATGCAAGTGGTTTGTTTTTTGTGGCTCTGCACCTCCTGCACCCCTAGAGACTCTGGGACAAAAAAGCGCATAGGAAGAACCCAATTCTTTCTTTCTTCCTTTCTTTTTCTTTCCTTCTTTTTCTCCCCTCTCTCTTCTTTCTTAGCACATTGAGAATTAAAACCAGATTCACATTTCATGTGTCTAGCTTCACATTCAAGAATGATACAGACACACACAGAGGACAAACTGATTCCGCAGGTCGTAAGTGTCAGATCGATCTGTTACGGGAGGCACCAAGTCTGAAGCATCTTTGGGTTATGCACGTTCATATTCAGAAGCCACTTTTCATAAACCCTGGGGAGGCCATGAGAGGGGGCTTCTCCTAACTGTTGCTGTGGTGTGATGCACCACACAACTCACCACCATGCTAAGGCAGACCTGGGCAGAATACGGCCCACAGACCAGATCCAGCCTGCGGAGGCAGCGGGGAGCCCCAGGCAGACTCCCCAGCTTGCCCCTTGCCATGCAGGGCTCTGTTTCTGTCTTAAAACTGGAGAAGGGGGGGGGGGGGGGTTTTGGGGAAGGAATGTGATTTTCATGCGTTAGCTTGACAAACCTAGGGGTTATTCTACATTTGTTGTGTATTTATAACCAAGGACATGAAAAGCCCAACACTGCACTGAAATCAACAGCGGACACTGACAGTACATTGGCTGTGAATAAAATTTCTACAGAAAAATAAACTAAAAAGAGGATATTGCAGCAGAGATGTCTATGGACAGGAAGACAGGATGTGATGTGAGGTTGGGGACTGAGTGCTGTTAATTGATGCAGGAGCAGGCAAGGAGGGGCCATGTCTTGATTACCAATGATATGTAGTTAGAAAGTTGAAGATCACATGAATTAATGCAGCCAAAAGCCCAAAGAATGTTACGAAATTGCATGGATCTAATTAGATTGGTTAATTCATTCTGTGTTTTTTTTCCACCTATGAATGTTGGAAGGCGCAGCGCAGTATGGGATGTATGAGCCCTGCTTTCTAGAGAGCCAGTCCAGACAGAAGAGCAAGGGAGAGCCACAAACGTGTGTTGCTGGGCTGGTTATGGCACATGGACATTGTCACTGAACAGCCTGACAATGCAATAACTAATTGAGTTTGGAGAAAGGTTTTGGATTTCTTGAAGTGCCACAGCTGATGTACACAAATGTAAACACGTCAAACGTTGATATCGATGTGAGGGAAGACTAAAGGTCAATCATTCCATTTCAAAAAATAGATTTTAATAAAAAACTGCTGAAACATAAAGGAAAAGGTTCTTGTGCAGACATCTTGTCACACCAACAGTTTCTAAATTAGCATCCATTTTTTTCCCTTCGTATTTGACACTGAGATGCTCAGGGGAGCTGCGTTGGTGCCCCCAGTGTTAAGACCGGGACAGAAGAAAGGGCGCAGCGTCCCGGAGAAGGTGCCGGTGAAGGTGAAGAGATGGGACCTGTCAGTCACATTGTAAAACGAGACCTCGCCCGCCTCGTAGTCCAGGAAAAT